ATAAATCGTTTGCGATGCCTATTTAAAATGAATGTATTTAATACTTATAAATGACTAAAGAAAAATTTAATTATTTATCTACAGGGTGCTACAAATTCGAGGTACGAGCATTGGTATCTCAGAAACCGTAACATATACGAAGATGGTTAAATCGGGGCAAAGTTGCCGCCTTGGGATGTTCACCAAGATGCCATCAAAAAAGTTTTAAAAAATTCAAGGATTGTTGAGTTTTCTGAAAAAAAAAACGTTTTTTTTTTGAAAATGAATTTTATTTTTTCCTGTCTTTACTTTTCAGAAAATCAAAAAACTAATTGCATATCCTCATAGCCACTTTATTAGGGCTATTTGATAGTATTTTTAGTTTTTCAAATTAGCTGATAATTTGTGAAATACAGAGGCCAACATATTTTTTTTAAATACGAACCTGCATTTTTTATTTTAGGTATTGAAAGAAATCTGTCTCCTGAGTGCAATGATGTGCCACACTTTTTTTTTTGTTTGAGTACAACCATAACTATTTAATTATTATTTAAAATAACTTCAAGCTCGACTCTGGTTTTTTAAATTATTTAATCTGATTATATTCATCGCAACAACATTGATCAGCGCCAATTAACATTAAATTAGGAAAATCGAGCCAATTGAAAGGTTCAAATAAATAATATCCAGGTCAGCAATTTAAAGATATTAGGTATTTTTATTTTTTTATTGCGAATTTGAAATATTAGTGAACGATTTAATAATATACATCATATTAATTGTAGTTATTATAAATAAATCAACTTCTACAAACTAGTTTCTAATGCTCTACATGTTCGAAAGAGTTTCCACCCTCCCTATTGTATAAATTTATTTTTCGTTCAATTTTATTTATAGCTCTTTGAACAGATCTTCTTCTTATACTTTCGAATGCATTTTGTACTCTTTATTGTAAATGTCGAGATGTATTAATTTCACTTTTACAAATGTCTTCAAGTAATGCCTCCCCCCCCCCTCGGCCCGTTGGCGACAAGTCCAGGAGCCTCGCTGGCCATTATCCTGCTCTACCCTCTACCATTTCCAATTCATCTTCCGGTGAAATTATTTGTTTGTTTATATTATATTATATTTATACTATTTTATTTCATGTGATTTTCCATATTCAATGTTTTACCCCACATCATTGTTAGGTTTGAAAGCTAATCAATATTGTAACGATGAATAGATTAAATATTTAAAAAAAAACAGAGCCGGACTTGAAATTAGTTTAAATAAATCGTGTTCAACTGTCCAAAAAAAATATTTAGTGTGGCATATCATTGTACTCAGGAGACCGAGTTCTTTCAAAACCTGAAAGAGTAAATGCAGATCCGTATTTAAAAAAAATAAGTTGGACTCTATCTCACAAATTATCCGCTAATTTGAAAACCAACCATCAGATGGTCCTAATAAAGAGGCTATGAGAATGTGCAATAATTTTTTTGATTTTCTAAAAAGTAACGACAGGAAAAAATAAAATTGATTTTCAAAAAAAACTTTTTCCAAAAAAAAACTCCTTGACATTTTTAAACTTTTTTGATGGCATCTTGATGAACATCCGAAAGCGCAACTGCCTCAATTTAACCAGTGGAGTGTACACGATTTTAACATGAATATTAAAAATATTTGTAAAAAGAAATAAGGGATATTTTTGCCTATTTCTTATATGCCAAATTTTACATCTCAATATCAAACAACGAATATCTTCATATGACAGAGAACCGTAGAATTTCTTTATTTGTATACACCTCCATCAATCAATGGCTTGACAAGAAGGATAAGGGTACCTTTTTTATTAGGGTTATGTTGCACCTACTACGTTTTATATCCATTTTCCAGCGACCCTTCAGAATTAAATTTTCCTCTTTATTTCTTTGTAAGGTCGTCTTTGTTGGTACGTGGACGAGGATAAAAATTGGAAAATCCTTTTCAATTGTCGTAAACAAGATGGAAAAATTGAGTAAATTGAATAAAAATACGTTTTATGGAGAAGAAAATTAACTTCAATATAAAAGGAAAATAAATGACTTAATAATGTACAGGGTGGCTCGAATTCGACGATTGAGATTTCGGAAACCGTAAGAGATACAGGATCGGTTAAATGGAGGCAAATTTGAGCAATTGAATGCTCAATAAAATGCCGTATTGCATTTTTTCCCTTTTTTTGCATAAACAATTCTGCTGATGGAATTTTCTGTACGAAACGTCGGCAAATATCAAAGTGACTATATATAGTGTTTTAAGAGCGATGAAAGGATTTAATTAAATTGAAAAAAAATCAGGTCCGTATTTAAAAAAATTAAGTGGATGATGGTCGCCAGAAGTAGAGGTGGGAATTCTAATTCCTTCGGAGGAACTAGTTCCTTAGTTCTAGTTCCTCAAGAGCAATAGTTCCTTGAACTAGATCTTTAGTTCACAATAGTTCCCGACTAACATTGACATCCCCCTTGCTTGCTAATGTGTTTCGTTGTCAGTCAGAACTATTCACACTATGATCTGTATAATTTTTCTAGTGTACGGAGATATAACGAGACGTGTAAGTATTATTGCAGATAAACAAATAAAAAAACTCAAATAAGAATTTAAAAAACTATATCATAAATTAATTGGAGCAAATATTACAAAAATTTTACGAAAAATTGCATTTTTCCTCACTTCAAGCTTTTGTTTTTGTCTACAAATTCAGAATATCTACTTTGTTTTATAAGATATTTCTTAATTTTAGGGACCTAAATTGAAACATTCTCATAAAATATTTAAAAAACAAACTAAAAATCAAAAACAGTATACACGACAATTTTCTGTGGTAATTACGCCGCGCCGGCTGTGGCAATAGACAAGACCGAATCCATCATCGTCGCCTTGTATTATATCTCGGATCTGCCGACTTAATAGATTCCCGTGAACTAGTTTTTTAATAGTTCCTTTAGGTCCGGACCCGATAACATACGGCATACGGCTGGCACTCCCCACTCCTGCCTAGCATGGATCGCGCTGGCCCGATCCGTTCGTACGTAAACTAGTCTATTTAGTTTAGTTTGGTTTAGTTCCTCTAGGTCCGGATCCGATCCAAATAAATATCGACAGACGAGGAGCAGCGTATGACCTCGCGCTACAAAACATAATCGAAAAAAATATCGATATATTACTAGGACAAGAACCAAATGTGATTGCTAAAAGCAAAGAAATATGTGATACAAACTGTGATGCGTTTATTTACACTGGAAATAAGTTGTCTGTGATAGATTATATATGTTGTGAAAGTTTTGTTTGTGCTGAAACTCGTGATGCGTTATTCTTTTCATGTTATTTCTCCCCTAGCAAACCTAGCCAGTTGCTAGAGGGCGTGCTGGCAGAGATAGAAACTATCATAAAAGGAAAAAAAAGAAGCCATTATAGGCGGCGACCTAAACGCTAAGTCTAGATTGTGGGGCTCCACCATAATAAACGAAAAGGGCAAGATAGTGGAAGAGTGGATAGAGGCTAATGACCTGGTTGTAATAAACCAGGGCAATATCCCCACTTTCAAAAATATGAATGGTGAGTCGATGATTGATATAACATTGGCCACAGCAAGTATAAGCCTCAAAATTAAGAACTGGAAAGTGGCTGAAAGCGAGGAAAATATGAGCCTCCATAGAAATATCTACTTTGAGATCACGAATGATACAACTGTGGATAAACCAAAACCAATTACGTACAAATGGAGGGTCACACAATCGGGTATGGAACGAATTAGGTTTCACTGCGAGAGTGAGGGTTTGCGTATGAAGGCGGCTAATCCGCAGAGTCTAAGTAAATCCCTAAAGAGTTTATGCAATCTCTATCTTTTACCCAGAAATAGAAAACGGCAAAAAATGACTTATTGGTGGAGTTCCCATATAGCGGACAGACGTGCAACAGTCTGCGTCGGAAGATCACTAGAGGCAGAAAGGGGGCAGGAGAATCAACGGATGTAGACACAGCAATATCCAACTACAAAGAGGCAAAAATCAATCTGAAACCTGCTATTAAAAGCGCCAAAAAACATGCCTGGGAAAATCTCTTAAATGACCTGAACAAGGATATATGGGGCAAAGCGTACGAAATAGTCACCAGAAAGTGGAGTACTGGAAATAAAAAAAGTATATCAGAAGAAACAACTAGAGAACAGATACGATTACTATTCCCGACCGTAAAGACTATTACCATTGAGAGAGATAAAATTCCATATTTCTCAGTAGAGGAGATAATAGAGGCGACTCAGAGTCTAAAAGTGGGAAAAGCTCCGGGCTGTGATGGTATTCCTATTGATGTTGTCAAAGCTGCCGCCACACACGATTGTAAATGGGTCATGGATGTCATGAACTTCTGTCTCAGGGTAGGACATATTCCAATGGAATGGAAAACCGCGAAACTGGTACTAATAGAAAAGAAAACCCAAGATAGTACATCAAAGTCGTACAGACCGATATGTTTGCTAAATTCTGGAGCTAAATTTAAAAAAAGTTGGAGACCCTTTTAAAAAATAGACTAGAAAAGGAGCTTACAGAGAAAGGTGCCATCCATGAAAACCAATATGGATTCAGAAAGGGCAAATCCACAATAGATGCACTAAATAAAATCCTAAACATAGTGAACAATATAAACGCCAAGAGTTACAAATCCAGAGGAGTCGCAACACTCCTGACATTAGATATAAAAAATGCATTTAACTCGGCCCAATGGCAAGAAATAATAAGACAACTTGAAAACAAGGGAATCAGTGGGTACCTAATTAGAATGCTCCAACAATACCTCCATAAAAGGTACATTGTTACGGAACATGGAGAACGTTTCAGAATGGTATGTGGCGTCCCGCAAGGATCTATACTTGGACCGACACTGTGGAACGTTTTCTATGACCAAGTGCTTAGAGAGGACTACGGACCGGGGTGCAGTCTTATTGGATATGCAGACGATCTAGTCCTAGTGACAAGTGCAAAAGCATGCTTATAGAAAGAATGACTGCTGCAGCATACACTATTAAAAATAAGCTGGATGAGATGGGCATAGAGTTAGCTACCAATAAGACTGAAATGGTCATTTTGGCGGGAAGACAGAAGATGGAGGAGGTAGAATTTAGCTGGTGCAATACCAACATTAAAAGCACAAGGGCGGTAAAATACATGGGAGTTTGGCTAGATAAAGACGCTCGGATGACCACCCATATTCGAAAACTTCAGGAAAAAACAGAGGCAATCATAAAGCAGTTATCCAGAGTTATGCCCAATCTGAAGGGACCGGTGGCAGAAAAGAGGAGGACATTGGCCTCGGTGGTGTCTTCCACGATTCTGTATGCGTCTCCCATATGGGAGAGAGCCCTAAAATACAAACTCTACGAAAATATCTTAGACTCCATAAATCGTAAAATAGCGCTGAGAGTAACATCGGCATATAGAACATCTCCAACTAAGGCCATCCTGGTCCTAGCCGGTATCCCACCGATAAAGCTCCAAACAGAACAAAGAAGTCTAGTGTATAAACATGGAGACCAATTCAGATTTGAGGCCAGAAATATTATACTGGACAAATGGCAGGATGCGTGGTCGCAATATCAAGGATGGGCTAAAACGTTTATTTTAGATGTAAGGTTCTGGGTAAACTGCAAGGCAATTAATATAGACCATTTTGTGACACAAGCCATTACCGGAAACGGGGTTTTTGGCACCTACCTAAAAAGAATCGGTAAAAGGGACAGCGACACTTGCACTTACTGTAATACTGTGGACAGCCCGGGTCATACAATATTTCTCTGCCCTAGGTGGCAAACGATAAGGGAAGAAACAGAAGAAATATGCCAAAGGAAGCCGGAGGAAAACACAGTTGGTATCACCATTAGTGAGGATGAAGGAAAGTGCCGAGCCATTATATCAATGCTGCATACCATTATGAAACATAAAGTAGACGATGAGATTAAACCCAAAAATTGGTGATACTATGATATTATTGTCTGTGATAAAGAACTAAACTATGATAAAAAACTGACTGTGATTTGATTAAAATAATAAGGAAGATTTATGTATATATTATGGAATTATTCGATATATAAAATAACATATTTAATATTAATATATTTCGTAAATTAATAATTCGATTGAAAGGAAGTATAAAATAATTAAAGTTCATTGGCATTTACGCAACAAAAGTAAAGTTTTAAAATCAAAGTTATAAGCATAATTGGCAATTGCGAAAATATTTCCTTTCAATACTACGAATTTATAAAATCATCAAATCAGCACTAACGCGGTCATCGCACCGGTCATCGCACCGATAGACCAATAATGCTGATTCGATGATTCGACGTAACGAACCAATAAATACAAAAATGTCACCTGTTGAGTGGATAGTCGATAGTCGATAGTAAGTTCGATAAGGTCGCGGTCGAGATTCCGGCATTGGCGTTACACTACCCTGACACTACCCCCGAGCCAGTGATGATGTTCGTCCATAAATATAATATGTAAGTACACATTTAGTTTTATAATTATTTTATTATTCGTAGATTAATTAAATTGATTATTAAGTTAAATTGAAGTATTTATTATTTGCTATGCCCCTAGTCATAACCCACAAAATGGGCCGTGACATATGTGGTGGAGGCGCCGTTTCAGCCTCCGTGAGCAGCCGACGAGATTTGTGGGTGGATGTTTTATGAACGAAGTCAGTGCAAAGTATTGAAACTTAAAAACTATATAGGTATTGTGCAGTTCACGTTAGTGCCAGTATTAAAAGACATTTTTTTTTGTCTATATGTAAACGGCTAATCGCCATCCTTAAACTTATAGAGAAGCTTTTTTTTTATATTTTTTTTTAGTTAGTAATTTCTTTAGCCATGACCATTACATATTCTTATACAGAATTGAACGCTCTACAAAAAAAGTCTCTTGCAATTTTTCGATGAACCTACTCCTTCAAAAGTCATTCACGGTTAAATTTAACCACTCGGCAAATTCCTAAAGTTTTCAACTTTTTTAACAAAATTATGATTATTTTTGAAAAATTTAATCTACTGTAAAAATATACAATTACGGTGGTACTGAGGCTGGGAACTAAGAAATCTTCAAGTCTAATAAAGTTTAGACCATTTAAGTATAGCTGATTTATTTTAATAAACATTCTTAGTTAGGTTTTTAAAAGTTGGATTAGTTGGATTTTGATATATTTTTTTTTAATTGTCAAGAATGTTTGTAAAAATAAATTCAAATCGTCAATAGAAAAAAAAATGTGAGGAAAATAACAGAGATTTACTGTGTGAACTTACTTAAAATTAGTTAATTAAGTACTGCAAAAGAATACAAGCTCAAAAATAATAAGTGTTAGAATTAACAACCTGTCATGCATTCAATTGTTTTCCATGATTCAAAATTGTTTATCATGGTATCATGAGAATTGCTTTTTTTTCAAATAATAGATTAAATTTTTCAAAAATAATCATTTTTTCAAAAAAGTTGAAAACTAGGAATTTACCGAGTGGTTAACTTTAACCGTGAATAACTTTTGAAGGAGTAGGTTTGTCAAAAAATTGTAAGAGGCCTTTTTTGTAAGATCTTTAAGAATATATATCAGTAATGGCTGTGAGAGAACATGATCGAGAGAAAAAAATTATTTGCAAAAAGTGGCAAATTCCCATGTAATTTAAATGGGAAATGGATCGTCTTTGGGGCAAGGTTTAATGTAAATATTAAGGGTTTACAATGGTCTGTTATTTTTTTAGACAATAAACTAAAAATTTAGAGGCCGTCGTGAGAGAAATGATCAACTTGGTAAATAACGGACACTCTATTAGTACTTACATAGTAAGATAGGTCTTGTCGCCAGTGATTGTCCTTTTGAAATAAAGTTTTATTAATAGTTAGGAGACGGTTTTACAGACATTAGTTCTTCATCTTCAATATCAGTCGTACCAACGTTCATAACACGAATGGTTGTCGTCTCCGCGCACTCAGTGATGAGGTGTTCTGGTGTTTCTCCATTTTTATCACAGAATTTGCATTGGTCCTTGTTTTTTCAATCTGAAGTGTTAACTGAGGAGTCAATGTTCCGTTAAAAACCTCGGGGCAATCCAAAAAAATTTCTTACCAGGAAACTCTTTGATTTTTCTCGGTTATAAGTTCTGAGAAATTTATATGAGTGACCTAGATGGTTCGAAGATTCCCATTCCAGGTTACGGATGGAGTCCACTTGAGAAGCAGAACTGTTCTGTTCCAGTTAGTAGAGTATTCGTTCCTTTTCTAGTTAGATCACTGTGTAAAAGAGCGTATAGAAGAATATTCGCCAAAATTTGCAGCCCCCACAAGCAAAGATAGGAAGTTTGACAAAAATGTACCAAGTAGTTCTACTAATAGATCATCGCAAGCTCAATAGGCATCTAACGCTGATAGGTCTGACGGACAAATCCATGTATTAATCAAAGGAATAAATAGTATAACACATGTTATGTCAATACGATGGCCTGGCAAATGTGCTGTTCTGTTTACATACAAAGTGAGTTTTCTGCGATGTTCTCTATGGGTATCTCGGAAACTACCGGATATGGAGAGTCAGTTTGAGATGGGGAAAGAATTGCAGTTTTGTGGGGTCATAAGTATGCGCCTTTCAGATTTTTGAAAAAGTTCATGGATTACTGGATATTTCGAAAAAAGCTAATTTCGGCTATTTTAAAAATTGTCCCTAATTCCATTATACATTATTTTAGACAAAAAGTTTTCAGATAAAAGTTATAGATATCTCATCCTTAATGAGATTGTGTCCTCCTTTTTTTTCTTAAGCCTGTCATCTTTGACATATGACACAAACATAAATGTTTTATTAAATGGAAACCTCAAAAAGCGCCATTTTTCAGCTTTTCGGCGATATAAGATATAATATGTTTTTTTTTTTGAAAAATTACTATGTTATAGCCAATTATTATCATTTTTTAAACAATTTCACTTAGTTAGCCATGGAAACAGGTTCAATCTTTGTTGCTCTCAGAAATTTGAAACTGTTACATCTAAACTTTGTAAATTAAAATAAACAAAAATTGCAAATATGAATTTTTAGTAGGATTTTTGGTTCAACTCTTCTTGGCCATACATATTCGAAGCTATGTTGAGCGGTGAACGTTAGTTATGTTTTTATAAATAACGGTTTTAAGACATGTTAGAAAAGTTAAATTTAGATACTCGCGCATCAATAGAGTGATTCCAACATGACTTCATTATGACATACTCCCCTATAATGAAAGAAATGTTAAAAATTATTTATATCATAATTATGCGGACGCAGTACGGAATGATACGGTAGAAGTTTAAGTCGACCGGTTATTCTGTGAGAATAGCTAGTAATTCAGTTTTAAAAAGATGCATTTATGTGCTCAAAACAATGGCGGATTTTTGAACATTTTTTAAAATAAGTTCATATTTACAAATTTTGTTTATTTTAATTTAAAAAGTTTCGATGTGACAGTTTCACATTTCTGAGAGCAGCGACGATTGAATTGTTTCCATGGCTAACTAAGTGAAATTGTTTAATAATGATAAGAATTGGCTGTAACTCATTAATTTTTCGAAAAAAAAAACACATTATAGTTTATATCGTTGAAAAGCTTAAAAAATGCCTTTTATAAAGTCATGGCAAAGTATGGTTTCCATTTAAAAAAAATATATGTTTGTGTCATATGTCAGAAATGACAGACTTTACAAAAAATCAGAGAACATAGACTCGTTAGGGATTTGATTATCTACAACTTTTAACCCGTTTAACCGACTCTCTATCTCCAGTACTTTCCGAGATACCCATAGAGAACATCGTAGGAAACTCACCCTGTATATAGCAATAATAAACCACTGCAAAGAGCTATGGAAGGTTCAACGTTCAAGGATTATTCATTCTGAAAGGTATAGGAATGGATAATTTAAAAGAAGTCCAAAGAGATTTAAAAAGGCCTCAGTCACAGCTTAAGTAAAAACCAGCTCGGACAGTGTAGCGTGCCGCTTTGATCTTTTTACGCTCGGATTTGCGATTCGAAAGAGGAGGAACACTAGAGCGGCGAGCTTTCTCGCCAAAACCAATAGCCGCGTAAGCGCCAGTCAGCCCAGAGATGTATTCAAAAAAATTTTACACGTGACGTAAAAAATTATTCGACTGGTGCTACAACATAATTTAGATACAGGTTTTTTAAATTGTTGACTTTAAATAAATATGCATTCTCAAAGAAAAACATTTAAAAAACAAATTAATTAATTTATTTCTAGAAATAACAGCAAAATGAAATAGGTACATTGATTACTTATAGTTATTTACGAATGTTTCTAAATTAGGAGCTTTCGGTTTTTGTTCGCTACATTTAAGTTCTTATTAATATTCTTTAAGGTATAATAAATTCTAACTTTTGCGTATAATTTTAACAAAAAATACATTATAGGAAAATTTTGATTGATGGTTGAATTTAATTGTCTGAAATAATTTAACGAATTTACATAATATATTTTCATTTAAGGAAAGTTCTTCAAAATTGTTCTGAATAAATTTTATAAAAAAAACTTTTAAAAACAAGTTTTTATTTAAATACACTAAAAATAATAAAATAAACTTTTTTCTTTAAAACTTTTATTATGAACTTATAACGTCATTACACAATTTTTAATATTAATATATATACAAGCTTGCATGAATTTGAGTGTACAGGGTTGCACTCCATAAGAATCAGGCATTCAGCCTATCTTATAATTCCTGGTCTAGTGGTCTATCATAACACAAACTTTGAAATGAGACAGGGTAGACACAGGTTTTAGTTAATTACTTGTTTATCGGTGCTTGTAGAAATCTCGCGACAAGCTTTTATATAATATTAAGAGTATTGTAATGGCTATAAATTCATAATAAAACTTTAAAAAGTTATTTTATGCACAATATTTAAAAGCTAAATAAAAGTTGTTTAAATGTTTTTTAA